GTGTGTTTAACATCAAAACCCTATGGGTCCCGAACCCCGCGTTACAGGGACATTCAAAACGCAGGGGTTCGAACCCCTGTCGTTACAACATCAAAGACGCCGTAGGCGTCGCGAACCGCGTTACCAACATCAAAAACGCCAAGGTCGAAACCGCGTTTACAAACTCATAAACGCAGGAGTCCGAACCCCCGCGTTACCCATATCGAAAGCCAAGGGTCCGAACCCGCGTTACAACCCTCAAAACGCCAGGGTCCGATACCCGCGTACACACATCCAAAACGCCAGGGTCGAGCCCGCCTGTTAACAACATCAAAACGCTAGGGTCCGGACCCCGCGTTACACAAGCTATAAACGTGAAAGCGCGCCTGCGCCCATCTTTTGTAGGTAGGAAGTAAACAAATTGCAAAGAAAGAGACAAAGTAAAATTGATTGTGTATTCATTTGATTCCGATTACAATTCGATTACAAAAGAGCAGGAAGAACGAAATTGGGTTTCTTCCTCTTTGTTTTAAAACTGGTTCTTCCAGCGGTGGCGATGGAGTGCCTCCCTCGAGTGCCTCGCGCGAGTTTTGCCTATCCCGTTGATGATCGCATGCTTGATTACTGGAACGATGTCTCTCCTCTCACGATGTGACGTTGTGGAGAACGTTGCGTGGTAAAGTTTTAAAACTCTTAATGAGTTGATAAACTCTGATCGAGTTTGAACTCTTGAAAAAGAGTTGGATTTTGAAACGCGAAAGTTTTCCGGTTAATAGCCAACGGATCCCAACAGCTCTCTTGTTTGCGCTGAACGTTGAAGATGATCTTCGTTGGAAGATGATGTCGTCTCCTCCAAAAGCCTGTCTCCAATGGGTGATCCAAAGCCAAAAAAATCCGAACCTTGTGGGGTTCGAATATGCGCAAAAATCCAACCCTAACTCGTTGAGTTTCTCACTTTGTAAGTAGGGGGATAAGAGTTGTTAACTGCCCTCATAAATCCGCTCCTACCAGTGGGCGAAACTTCCCTCAGAACGTGGGGATATGACAGTTTTTTTGAGTGCTCCGTTCGCTTGTGTTTGAACAAGTCAAAACGCCGCAATTGACGTTCAGCTAACCAACTTCGCCTTTAGAATTGAGAACAGCGAAGTGTTGGGTGTTGGCTGAACATGATGAACGGAGGGTCGCTTTTCGCGCGTTTTGGTTGGTTGTAGCTTAGAAACGCGGGGGTGCGTGTTGGCTGGAACCTAAGAACGTTGAGGTCGCTCACGTTTTTAATAGCCTTTGTTGTAACGCGGGTCCGACCTCGCGTTTTGATGTTGTAAAACGCGGGTTGACTGGCGTTTTTGATGTTGTGACGCGGGGTTCGATCCTGGCGTTTTGATGTTGTAACGCGGGTTCGACCTTGGCGTTTTGATGTTGTAACGCGGGTTCGACCTTGGCGTTTTGATGTTGTAACGCGGGTTCGACCTTGGCGTTTTGATGTTGTAACGCGGGTTCGACCTTGGCGTTTTGATGTTGTAACGCGGGTTCGACCCTGGCGTTTTAATGTTGTAACGCGGGTTCGACCCTGGCGTTTTGATGTTAACACACGGGGAGGACCTCCGCGTCTTGTCTTGAAGAGATTATCACAAAGTAATCTCTTTTGTCATAGCGTTGCAAAGATCATTGTCTTGTAATCTTCGTTTTGGCTCCTTGAGAATATGAGAGTCGTCAGATTGTAACTCCCGATGTTGATTGTGAATGCTGTTGAACTAGATCTCTCATCGGTTGTCGTGAAGGTCGTCAGATTGTAACCTTCAGCGATCTACGTGAAAGTCTTCAAATTGTAGCCTTCTGGAAGTCGTCAGATTGTAACTTCCATCGTCGGTGTTTGATGGAGGATAAGCTATCTATTGTGATTTTTAGACAGCCTACAGACCGCGTTCCAAGCTCCCAGAACAAAACACAGAGGTCCTCCCCGTGTGTCAACACCAAAACGCGGAGGTCCTCCCCGTGTGTCAGCAACAAAACGCTGGAGTCGGACCTGCGTTGCAACACCAAAACACGGAGGTCCTCCCCGCGTGTCAACATCAAAACACCGGAGTCGGACCTGCCTTGCAACATCAAAACACGGGGGTCAGACCTGCGTTTTTTGTGTTTGACTAGTTCAAACAGAACCTATACGGTTTTAAAACTATATCTCCACTTAATGGGGTCGGTTACACCCTATTATGGAGAGATTTTAGGGGGGATTGCACCCCTTAAACTCTTGAACAGTTTCAAAACTGTTTCCCATGATTTGGGGGCAGTTACACCCCACTTAGGAGTGATTTAAGGGACGGTTACACCCCCTTAATCCCCTATAAATAAGAAAAAACTCAACTGAGTTGGAGGTTGGAACTTCTTGGCTCGGATTGACCTTGGAGCTTGGCAGTAAAGAGAGGATCTTTGGAGCATTCTTGGATCTGGAGATCGACCACCGGAGCTCTCTTCCGGCCTTGGCTTATTAACCGATTTTCGGTTCAAATCAATTCTTTTATAGAGTTCTTCTAAACTCGTTCAGAGTTCTAAAACTTGCTTTGCAAGTTCTCCATAGCGTCAAACCGTGAGGAGAAGACATCGTTCCAGTGAAGCAAAACGTCGGATCGTCAACGGAGAGCAAACTCGACGCGAGCATTTGAGGGAGACACTCCATCACCACCGTGAAAAACCCAGAATTAAACAAAAGGGAGAATCAAATTCATTCTTCTCTCTTTTGTAATCGAATTGTAATTGAGATTAAATGAATACCAATCAATTATTCTTTCATTTCTTTTACTCCAAACTTTTTTTCCATAAACAGTAACAAAAACTCTTATTGGATACACATAAGAAGAATTCATTATAGAGAAAAAGACAGCTCCTATTAACATAGAATTAAAGAATAAATTTTAGTTAAAAAATAAATTAAAAATATTCAATCATTATATTTAATCATGTGTATTGCAGGCCTATAAAACTTAGGACATAAAAAGGCGCCTCTTTTTTTAATCACTCTCATTCCTCGCCTGACATCTCGCCATTTCCGTCCGCTGAAGGGGAGAACGAGGAAGGTTTTATTAGTTCTTTTCAGGTATTTTAAAAAAAAGTTCCTTAAATTCTTCAGATCTCTTGCTTTTTTTGTTCTTAAATTAGTTAGATGAAAAATCTGAGCTGGATCTATTAAAGAATTTCTATGATAACTAGGATTTTGTGTAGTAATATTTGTCAATGTGGCTATGATGTTTTTATTCATTTTTTCTGATGCCGGAAGTTAGCATCTTTTAGATATAAATTTTTGGCTTCTGTCTTTATTTATGGATGCGAACCTCATAATTATATTTCTTGATGATAAAATTAGAGCTATTTTTATTCGACCTCAAGGACCTATTTTGAAACTGGACCCTCATTTCAAATAACTTAAGGATTTTGAGGATCTAATCTAAAAAATATTAAGATTTTAAGATCTAAAGTATGAAATTAGGGCTAATTTGGAGGTCCTGTATTGTTAAAAAACCTACTAGTTAATGTGTGTTTGTTAGCAGAAGATTTTGTTACCATGGTTCTTGTCATTCTTTTATTTGAGTTGTTTCTCCTTCAATTAAGTTGGCTTCATGTTAAAAATCTTTTGCTTTCTTATCACTAACTACAGGTTTTTTTTACCAAAACTGTAGTGTCAAAATTACGATACTAGAAGATTTAAATTTGACGACCTGAACAGGTTTTTTTTACCAAAACTGTAGTGTCAAAATTACGATACTAGAAGATTTAAATTTGACGACCTGACAAATTTTTAAGTTTGATACCAATTCATTAGATATGGCATTTTATTATTGTTAAGGAATATATTATGGAAATCTATAGTATTAGGAATAACATATTAGGAATAACATATTATAGAAATCGAGATCAAATGGTGGAGTTGAGTTTAGGCTTGAGCACAGATCAACAAGGAGGTAGAGGTCGACAAGGAGGACGAGATCAAATTGTCGAGGTCAAGGCGAGATCAATCATCAAAGGCGAGGATTTAGGGCATGAAGGTGATTGATGGTCCTGATGAAGGTGATGGACATCATCCACAATGAACAGTAAAGGGCGACGAATTGTACCACAGATGAACTGTGTCGCGATGAACACTACCGCTGTGAATGAACAGTACTCACTGGTCAACAGTACTATTTTGGGAAGCAGCAAGATTAGGGCTTTTCTATCAGTGGAGGTTGTGAGTGATGGAGCGGTGCGTCAAGGTTGAATTTGATGTCGAGGCCGCCAAGAAGAAGCACGAAGTTTTCAGGAAAAAAACCCTCTCGGCGGCTCGATGTAGACAAAAAAGAAAGAGGTCTCTCAAGGATTAAGAGGATGGCTCTGATACCACGTAGAGAAATAGAAAAAAAGCCAATATGATATATAATTCATCTAACTCTAACCTCACTTAAATAGAGGTTAGGAGGATATTACAAAATATAAATGAGATAAAATCATATCCAATCATATCCCTAATATCTCTCAATCGCATATTCCTAATATATTATTCCTAATATTATAGATTTCTATAATATATTCCTTAACAATTATTATCACAAATTTTCCGTTACATGTATGTTTCTGGGTAGTCATAACTGGTCCAGCCTTGGTTTAAGCTTGCGTTGGTATTGACTGGTTATTGGTTGTGCTAATTAATCTATTTATATTTCCCATTTAGGTTGTTTTCATGCTTGATCTCCATCTCCTTTAGGTTTGCAGAACACTTCCCAGTGCTGGTCTAGTTTATGATATCAGCTCATTATAGGATAATTAGACCAGTGCGTACTGCTAGATAAATGCGAAATTAGTTTATTGTTATATACGAGTTATACTCGAATTCATTATGAGAAGGTTTTAGGTTTCTGATTCTATGTGCATTGAGACATCAAAATCTAGTTGGTGAAACATGAAATTGAATGTAATGTTGTTAAGGGATACTTTGTTTAATTGTCTTTTCAGTTATATTTTCCTTATTTGATGTTAGATCATGCTGTACTTAATTCTTTGGATTGGAGGTTAGAGTTTACTACTATGGGAATGGATAGTGTCAAAACATTTGCAAAGTAAGGGAGAAGATTTTCTGGATGCTTTTTCAATAACACTTTGTCATTTGTTTCTTGCATTGTTGATATGTTTTTAACAACTAGAGAAAAATTAGTTTGCAATGACGTGCTAAGATCGGCTTGGTTTCACAAAGTTTAATGCCATCCTATCAGTGCATATTCCTGCAGTGATACACAAGTGAGCAATGGTTTATGCTGTCTTAATCAGGTCGCACAGTAATACATGCTTTACATGTTAATTTGTTCCGTTTAGGTCTTTAGAGCTCACTATAAGATGGCATCGCCATCAATTTCAACTGTTTCTATCAGTTCCATCGCCTCTTATGGCCCTCAGGCTGGCTTGAGATCAGAGCATAAATCCTCTGCCTTGGGCTTTAATGCTGCAAAATTCTTAAAGTGTTTCAGTGGTCTGAAAGCAGCGGCATCCGTTAACCTTGAATCAGATGCCTCCTTTTTGGGCAGAGAAAGCAATGCTGCTCTCTTGGCATCATCTATTCCAAAAGTGCAACAAAGTCAGAGGGCTTCAAACCAGTTCCAGCCCCAAGCGTCATTTAAGGTGGCTGTCCTTGGAGCAGCTGGAGGAATTGGGCAACCTCTGGCTCTTCTGATCAAGATGTCTCCTCTTGTCTCAGCACTTCATCTCTATGATATAGCAAACGTCAAAGGAGTGGCTGCTGATCTTAGCCACTGCAACACTCCCTCTCAGGTCTTGGATTTCACAGGGCCATTGGAGTTGGCTAACTGCTTGAAAGGAGTTGATGTGGTTGTTATCCCTGCAGGAGTTCCAAGGAAGCCAGGCATGACACGTGACGACCTATTCAATATCAACGCCAACATTGTAAAGTCCCTGGTGGAAGCTGTAGCTGATAATGCACCAAACGCTTTCATTCACATCATTAGCAACCCGGTAAATTCTACCGTCCCTATAGCTGCAGAGGTTCTGAAGCAGAAGGGGGTCTATGATCCAAAGAAGCTTTTTGGTGTCACAACACTTGATGTTGTTAGAGCAAACACATTTGTTGCTCAACAGAAGAACCTCAAGCTCGTTGATGTGGATGTCCCTGTCATAGGTGGTCACGCTGGGATTACCATCTTGCCGTTGCTCTCAAAGACGAGGCCTTCTGTGACATTCACGGATGAAGAAGTAGAACAACTGACTGTGAGAATCCAGAATGCTGGAACTGAAGTGGTGGAGGCCAAAGCTGGTGCTGGCTCTGCAACTTTATCCATGGCATACGCAGCTGCTCGTTTTGTTGAGTCATCTCTTCGAGCTTTGGATGGTGATGGTGAAGTTTATGAGTGCTCATTCGTTCAGTCTGAACTCACCGAGCTGCCCTTCTTTGCGTCAAGAGTTGAGCTTGGGAAGAAGGGAGTTGAAGCTGTGATCTCTGCTGATCTCCATAGGTTAACTGAATATGAGGCAAAAGCTCTGGAAGCCCTCAAACCGGAGCTGAAGGCCAGCATTGAGAAGGGTGTGGCATTTGTCGAGAAGCGGGCAGCAGTAGCTGCTAATTGATACCGATTCTCTTTTGGTCTTTCTTCTCATTTAATAGTCATACAAGAATAATGATAGAGCTATGCTCTAGTCTTTGCAGTTTTGCAGTCGTAGAAAATATCATCTATTTCATCTTGCTTAGTGAGATTTTAGGCAAGGCTGATGGGTTGGAAAATGTTCATGATGATAAACAAAAAGAGGAAATATTAGCATCTTGAAGCTCTCTGCCGTTAGCTGCATTGGTATGTCATCATGCAGCTCATCAAGTTCTCTTTATTGAATCCTGCTGTTGTTGAACATGTCATAAAAGCACTAAAAGACCATTTGGTACCTCTGTATCGAATTCCGGTCCTCTTTTCATGATGGTCATTTGTGATGTGGCCATACTTTTCAATTCCCTTCCTGTTCTTTCTGTTATGTGCATGCTAAAATAAACCATGTTAAATACTTTTTCTCCGAGGAACCATAATTTTGTTGTAGATTATAATGATGGTAAAAATTTGCCTCGTTACTGAACGAAGTGGATTATGTACGAGTTATATTTCCACAAGGATTCTGAAAAGGTGATGGACAACAGACAGAAGGCAAGCAAAGCAAGGAAATCATTGATCTATTCTGTATATTGTATCGTATGCTGATTTCTACACAGATGATGACGATGTGATCTACTCAAATATAGTGCAAATCTTCCCTGTGGAATCAGTTTTTTAGTGTTGGTACCTTGTAAGCTGTGTACTTGCTGTGGTCGTTTTCCTGTCAATGAATTATATAAATTTGAAGCGATACCATACATAGCTTGCCTGTTTCATTTGCAAGGTTCTAAAAGGGGATTAACTACCACTGCTGGCTGCTGCTGGAGCCTTGGCCTGAACCCTGAAAAATGTTAAGGTCAGTTAAACTTGCAGACGATCATCATCTGCCGAATCTAAATGCACATCGACTTGGTCATTGAGTGAGAATTGAAAGCTAGTTAACCTGCCTCTCTCTGCTGGTGTCTCCTCTACAAGATCTGGAAAGATGATGTTGGTTGGTCCACCAGATCTGACACTGGATCTGTACCTGCCCATTTTAAAGAAACGTCAGTTGGGGTTGTTGGGTGGCAGGGTTGTTGGCCCACAGCCTTGAGACCTTTGTTTGTAGGTATTTTGAAATTGTGTACTAGATTAGATGGTGGCCTTTTTAGGTTCTCATTCTAGCCCTGGAAATGCTCTGATTAACTAGGATTTCATTTGGGTTTAGTTGGCTGTTTGGCCGGCTCTGATTGCCCCTCTGATACACAGCACATTCAGTGAGCTTAGTCCCTGAAGCATCCACCACACAGAAATAAACCTCATAGGGCTGTCGGTCACCTGATTCGTTGGCATTGCATTCGATGCCAGGGGTGAACCCGGTCCCTTTCTTGGTGGCGTTCTTGATGGAAATCAAGCTGTAGAACGCGCGCCGCAGGCTCAATCCCTGCATCAGTCAAGGCTTGGAGGAGGTTCAGTTGCTTCTTGAAGTTGAGCGCAGACCGGAAGTAAGCGTGCTGGTCGAAGATGGACTCCGAGCAGGTTCCGTGCTTCTCCCACTCGTACGTCCAGAATTCAATGCTGTCGTTGCTGGGGGCAAGCTAAGTCTGGCCAGTGCTCTTGCATTGAGCTCATCCTGGTCCTCAATCTGCACAAGTGAAATGCAGTCAGGTATTATTAATTCTATTAATGGTAAATGTCTTGGTATTTAAATTTAAGCCACACCTGACATGTCAACTTGACCAATGAGTCATCAACAAGTCCATGTTCAAAATATCAGTTGAGCTCATGACTTAACTACATATTTACATAAATGTTATTAAATATTAACTCAGGTTTGGACTGGAAAGCGGGGCAAATTAACTTGGGATATGGGATTGATACCATTGACTTGATTATCATATAAGCATTTGGGATTAATACCTTGGATTCGTCGGACTGGTTATCAGGATAGCAGTTGGAGGGGTGGGAGCCATCAACAACGTCGGGCCAAAGGCCCACGAATGCCGAAGAGTCTGCAGCCGGCTGTCCAAGGATGAAAGCCACTATTCTTCGTATCGCAAAAAAAGATACAGGCCACTACAGGACACAAGTTTTAAAACATAACCATACACGTAGGCCATATTATGAAACGTTGAATGAACAAAACTGACCTGAAGAACTCAATGAGTCAGTTCATTACTCTACTCAAACTCAATGAGCTGTTCATACTTCTCATTGCCTGCTTGCTTATGGGATACATTAATTAATTATATCTTATGAAGTCTTCTAGTAACGTAACTATGATCTTGATTCACATCTTACCAGTTATTTTCGTTGTATATATTTAATATATTCTTTTGGATTGACTTGATAAGGTTAAATAATTCAAGTACATGTGGAACCTTTTTTTCGTAATTGCCATGTGACTGCCAAGCTGGTGTCCTGAGCAAAACAGGATCGGGATGGGCTGAAGTTTGATTTCTCAAATCAGGGAAGTTGGAGCAGTTGCTTGAATTTGTCAGTAACATTTAAAAAAAAAGGGATTTCTGTACAGTATATACAAATTATTATAAGGCTTCATGTGCTCATCCCTCAACTTTTTTGTCCCTTTTTCTCTTTTGGGAAAAACCTCTCTCTCTTCTTTACTCAAATGATCTTCAATGGATTCAGAAGTTCAACTGGGTTATATTACCTTGGCTTTAGGCATAAGTTCTTATTGAGCAGCTTTATTCCATTCGATCACTCATGCCTATTCGAAAACGGAATCCTAGAATGACCCTTTACATCTCTGCAGAGCGTAAAGTTATTCATATTACAAATCTTACTAGAGCTGCTCGTTTGAATTGGGCTGAGCCTTTTTCATACATATTTCTTTGCGCACAGGCATGAAGGTCAAGTATCAAATAACCTGATATTCAATTATAACTCCAAAACATTCACCAGAATTTAAATCGGCAAGGCTGTGAATACAGGCCAGGGGAAACATAACGATAACATTCAAAACATAAAATGTAGGGATTATCCTTTATTTATTTCATCAACCACAGACAACTGAATCTCACGAGGTGAAGTACAAGAAGACTAGTTGGTCTAAATCCTTGTAACTTGTTCGGACTCAGAAAGCAGGGAACTCGATCCTGGAACCACACCTACGCCTCGGGTGAACAGGGCATTCAATGAGCTCAGTCCCTGAGGTATCCACGCAGAAATAAACCTGATAGAGCTGGCTGTTGCCTGATTCATCGACATTGCACTCGATGCCAGGGTTGATCCCAGTCCCTTTCTTGATGGCATTCTTGATGGCGTTTAAACTGTAGAAGCCGCCGTCTGGCTCAATCCCTCCGTCCCTCAAGACTTGAAGGAGGTTGAGCTGCTTCTTGAGGCCGAGGGCAGACTGGAAGTAGGCGTGCTGGTCGAGGACTGACTCCGCGCAGGTGCCGTGCTTCTCCCACTCATGCGTCCAGAAATGAGTGCCGTCGCTGCTGGGACAAGCTAGGGTCGGCCAGTGCACTTGCATTGAACTTATCAGGTCCTCTATCTGCACAAAGTCAATTGAGCATTAGTGCTATTTACTTCTATTTAATTATTCCTTTGGCTTTATATATCAGTTAGTATTTTTTTTACTTTATTGCTTATCTGAAAAAATGTTTTCCAGCTAGCTAGGTCATGATAGCATCATTAACATAGAATATGTACGGTCAATTTAATGTGCATTCCTCTCCTTCTTCCCTTCTTGTTCCGTTACTTTCTATGCTTTTGTGATGTATATATACCTTGGATTCATCATAGGCGCTGTCAGGATCGCAGTTGGAGGGGTAGGAGCCGTCGTTGTAGTTTGGCCAAAGTCCGTGAATCCCAAAATCTGCAGCTGGTTTTCCGGTTGACGGATAACAACAGCTCCTCCTTGTGTCACAATATGACCCTGGCCACTGCAAAAAATAGTTGCAGCATAACAAGTTAATTTCATCGTAATTAACTAACTATATGTGAGCCGTATTAGGTAACATATAACCGTTAGACACACCGATCACCTGAAGAACAAAGTAAAAGAAATCAAAATCCCTGGCAGCGGAAGAAGTTGGCAAGAATGTAGGAAGAAGGAGAAGGACAAGAACTAAAGGGGATTGGCTCTTCATCATGACTTGGAAGTTTCTGTCTTGTTTTTTTTTTTGTTTGCCTTGTAAATTTGAGATGAGGTTTGTCCTTTTTGGGGTTCTCTATTTATAAGTGAGGGTGGAGTATACGAGTCGTTATATTCCCAAATATTTTTGTCGCATTGAAGGGCAGTATTGAGATTAAAGTTAAGGTAAGGAGCCTATTCTACATGAGACGGTCCGTTACACTACGCAAACACGTTTGGGTCATGAGCTGTTCACACTTCGTGTTGCTTTGCTTGTGGGGGACTAATTATATCTTTTAAATTACGTTAACCGTGATCTCGATTCTCGGTCGAATCACATATTTTATTGCTCGTTGTTCTGTTGAATTTTTATTTTTTTTAGTGTTTTTTGTTTTTGTGAAACACGAGTTAGGTTTTGGTTTGGTTTGATAAAGTTTAAATACTCTTTTGAAGTCAGGGCGAACCCGTTTTAATTTGCTACTATATCATGTAACGACCAAAAGATGGCGTTCCCAGCACAGAGGATGAGCTGTACGTTTGGTCTCTCAAAATCAGGGAAATTTCAAGCGCGAGGTGGAGCACATGCTTGCATTTCTTATTACAAGTTGTTTTTTTTAAGGGAATCTTGTACCTTATACACCAATAGCATATGCATATTCAACCGCAAGCTATACCAGTTTGGGTGGGCCTTTACATGTGGGCCCCTGGCTGAAGATATATTCTTCGACGCTGGCGGCAGTGTTGAGAAAAATTTAGAGTACGCAACTCTAAACTTACTAATATTGGATCCAAACAAGTAAACAAATCATGTGTATTATACCCACAATAGAAGACACTACAACACTTTTTAAGGACCACTCACAATTTGAAGAGAAATACAAACACTCAAAACAAAAGAAAGCTCATAACTCACTTATTTTGGTGGACACTCACACAAGCCTACACTACACTCAAGCTCACTTCTTGCTTGCTTACACAAATGAGAGCCAAAGACCCTTATTTATAGTTGAGTAAGAGGGTTAGGAAGTGTGTGGAAGAATCAATCCTAGCAATACTGTTGAGGATCTGCGTTGTCGTTTGGCTCAGAGGTCTGCTTTAATCAGTCATGTTCTTCTCTCTCAGTGCACCACCAAGAACACAAAGGGAGAGTTCACTGATCTCCTCCAACCGTCACTCACAAAAGGTGATCGCACAAAGGGGTTGAGAGCACAAAGCCCACAGGAGCACAAAACTCACAGAAAGAGAGAGATCACACAAATCAGAGGAGAGCTCAAGCTCAAATCTTCACCTCTCTATCTCTTCTTCCTCTTCCTCCCTCTCCCGAGCTACTACCAACCCATTACCCATATATAGGGATGGGGGCAGCCGACAAGGGAGAGGAGCTAGGGAAGAAAACGAAGGAGGGAGCTGACCTACGGATGGGAGCTCACAAGCGGCGGCCATCAGATCACGAAGACTAGGAGGTGAGAACCATCGGGTAGGAGAAGAAAATAGAGGGGCTAGGGCACATCAGATAAATGAAGTTGAAACTAGGCCTATTGGTAACGGGCCATCTTATTTGGGCCAACACAAATAACAACAATCTCCACCTTTGGCCCAAGGTAGTGCACAGAGAAAAAACACGGAACTGCAGGACTCATCATCGCCAAATTATTACCTGTATAATCACAAAGAAGATACAAGCAATGGAAGAGAATACACTAAGTAAACTCAGATCACAAAGATCGGGGTAAAATCACCAAGCATACCAAGTCCACAAAGGACCGAACTCTACCAAACGGTCATCGAGTTCAAAGGGAAAATCACAAAGCTATTAACAAGCACAAAGCAAGTTAATAGGCCACAAAGGCAACACACAAAGCAAAGGAAAATTACCCAAAATCAAAATTCAAGATTCTTTGACACGAGATAAATTTTTCAGCAGGCAAACACTTAGTACCCATGTCAGCAGGATTAAATTCTGAGGGAATTTTCTCTAACTTAACAATACCATTTTCAACTATATCCCGAATGTAATGAAATCTAACATCAATATGTTTAGTTCTATCATGAAAAACAGGATTTTTGCAAAGTTGAATAGCAGATTGACTATCAGAAAATACAACCACATTTTTATCAAGAAAACCAATTTCAGATATAAGGCCCCTAAGCCAAATAGCTTCTTTAAAAGCTTCAGTGGCAGCAACATACTCAGATTCAGTAGTAGATAAAGCAACAATGGGTTGTAATTGGGATTTCCAACTTATGCAAGAGCCACACAAAGTAAACACATAGGAAATTTCCAGCTTATGCAAGAGCCACACAAAGTAAACACATAGGAAGTGGTAGATTTTCTATTATCCCTATCATTTGCATAATTGGAATCTACATAGCCAACAAGTTTGACACCTTCAGAACACTTAGAAAAGGTTAATCCTACATCCACAGAGGATTTCAAATATCTTAAAAACCACTTCAAGGCATTCCAATGAGGCATACCAGGGTTTGACATATATCTACTCAAGCAACTAACCGCATATGCAATGTCAGGCCTAGTACTAACCATGAGATACATGACAGATCCTATAGCATTCGAATATGGCACCTTCTTCATATCATTTATTTCAGTTTCAGTATTGGGAGATTGATCCTTACTTAACACAAAATGGGAAGCAAGAGGCACATTCACAGATTTGGCATTAGACATAGCAAATTTACTCAAAATTTTTTCAACATATGAACTTTGGTTTAAAACTAGAGTAGATTTGTTTTTTTCCCTGATAATATTCATGCCTAAGATTCTTTTAGCATCACCTAAGTCTTTCATGTCAAAATTTTCACAAAGACATTTTTGAACATGCTTAATTGACTTCAAACAAGGACTAACAATCAACATGTCATCCACATAAATTACAAGAAATACAGGCACAGAGTCTATATTCTTATAATACAGGCAATGATCAGCAGAACTTCTTTTAAACTTTAAACATTGCATGCATTTATCAAATCTAATATTCCATTGCCTAGGTGATTGTTTTAAACCATACAAAGACTTTTTTAACAAACTCACATGATCAGGCAATTTAGGGTCCACAAAGCTCTCAGGTTGGTGCATATAAATATTTTTATCAAGATCACCATGCAAGAAAGCAGTAGTTACATCCATTTGTTTTAATTCCCAATTAAAATGAGCAACTAAAGCAAGCATAATTCTAACAGTAGTGAATTTGACAACAGGAGCAAAAATTTCAGCATAATCAATTCCCTCCTTTTGAGTAAATCCCTTAGCTACTAACCTAGCCTTAAACCTAACACTTTCAGATTCTTGTTTCACCTTAAACAGCCACTTACAGTCCACTACAGAACAACTAGCAGGTTTAGGAACAAGTTTCCATGTTTGGTTAATTTTTAGGGATTCCATCTCACTCTTCATAGCACTAATCCATTCTTCAGAATATTTTGACCTTAATGCTTCTTTATAAGTCTTAGGTTCATTGCACTCAAGGGATTCAAACACATTAAAGGCAAACTCAGACATATTACAATCAATCAAATTGCAATCTCTATATCTTTCAGGTTTCCTAATGGTTCTTTTATTTCTATCCCTAGTGAGTTGATAATCATTCAAATCATGCATGTTATCTATATCCTGCATATCATGCTCCACCTCATTAGGAATAATCTCATCTTGATTTTCAATAATTGTATCATTCAATTTTTCTTCAGAAAATGATTTGGGTTGATTTATAATAGGCTTTTGCTCCACCTCATTTGGAGCATCATTTTCAGGGATAGGAACATGTAAAGGTAAACAAGGAAATTCATTTTCATTAAAAACAACATCTCTGCTTATCACTATCTTAAACCTCTGCTTATCACTATCTTAAACCCCGGTTCACTCTTATTCCAAAGCCTATAACCTTTTACCCCTTCAGGATATCCTAAGAAAACACATTTCTTAGATCTAGGTTCTAACTTATCAATCTTTTGATGCATATAGCCAGCACTCCCGAAAGTTCTCAAATTATTTAAATCAAGAGGTTTGCCCGTGAACACAAATTTAGGGCATTTCCCTCCTAAGGGAACAGAAGGAGACTTATTAATCAAATAGGCCACAGTACAAACAGCTTCTCCCCAGAACTTCTTGGAGAGCCCAGATGTGGCCAATATAGCCCTCACCCTCTCTAAGAGAGTTCTATTCATCCTTTCAGCAACCCCATTTTGCTGGGGTGTGTAGAGAACAGTTTTATGTCTTTTAATACCCAAGTAGCACACAAATCATTCAATTGTTTGTTACAAAACTCAAGACCATTGTCTGTCCTAAGAGTTTTAATTTTCTTTCCCGTTTGGTTTTCAATCATAATTTTCCAGTTTTTAAATTTATCAAAAACTTCAGATTTTTGTTTCATGAGTAAAACCCAAACTTTCCTAGAATAATCATCAATTATGGAAAGAAAATATTGGTTCCCTCCATGCGTAGGCACACTAGAGGGACCCCACACATCAGCATGCAGATATTCAAGTACACTAGTGCACTTAGACTGATTAGGAAAAGAAGAAGTAGGAAAAGTAACCCTATATTGTTTTCCTAGCACACAAGATTCACAGAAAGGGATGGGGGATATTTTATCACTACCAAAGTGGCCTTCTTTATGCAAAATTTCTAATCCTTTATTACTCATGTGACCTAATCTATTATGCCATAAAACAGATCTATCACCTATCACAGAGTTAACAGAATCAAGCACAGGTTCAGCATGACAAATATACAAATTGTTTTGTTTGAAAATCTCACCCATTTTACCCTCACAGACAGCCATATTAGCATGTTCATTTTGCTGTTTTTTCTTAGGCTTAGGACAATCTTTAATAAAGTGACCAGTTTCATGACAATTATAGCATTTTTTAGCTTTAAACCTGGACTTAGATCTACCCCTTCCATTTTCAAATTTTTTCTTACTTGATTCCCCATTACTAGCATTCTTTTGGTAATTAGACCTATTCTGAGGCCTACCCCTCACATGCATAACCTCACCAGAATTTTTATTTCCCCCAGAATGTTTTAAATCTAATTCCTTACTCTTAAGACCATTGACCACAACATCAAGGGTAACCTCATCTCTACCATATTTAATAGCAGATTTCACATCATTATATGAGTCAGGAATAACATTTAGAAGAGCAATAGGAGTATAATCATCTATATGTTTATCACCAGTTAACTTAATATCTGAAATAAGTTTTGTGAAAACATCTAGGTTCTCCTCAATGTCCTTAGACATATCCAATCTAAATTTGAAAATTTTTTCAAGCAAAAACATTTTACTGGGCAAAGAGGTTTCGGTATAGAGTTCTTCAAGTTTATCCCAAAGGATTTTAGCAGATTTCAAAATTCTAACTTTTCTAAGCATAGAGTCATATAAGTTCAAATAAATTGTGGAACAAGTATTTTTATTTATTTCAGCCCTTTTTTCTTCAGTGTCAGAAGTCAAATAAGTCTGACCAACAGCCCTAAAAGACTTCTGTTGAATTAAGATGCATTTTATTTTTTGTTTCCAAATGCTAAAATCAGATTTTCCGTTGAACGGAGCCATACCATATTGAATCATACTATATTGATTAGCAGCGGACATTTTTTCACACAAAAAAACAAACAGAACAAACAGCAAAAAATAGCACGATTTTGGTAATTATCCAGCTCGAAACGTGTGAAGCAACTAGCACGAACAAATGAGAAGAACGATGAACACAAAGTTCTTGTTTCAATCTCTTTGATCTTTCACACGAGCTCTCCCAAAAAACAGTATTTTAATTTCTGAAAAAATTTAACAGACCCAAAGATTTACTGCCCAAAGATTTACTGTAATTTTTCAACAAAGCCAGAGATTAATCAGATTGAATGCACAGGAACTTCAAATCTGTGATCTACTACTCAAACATATATAGGTAATGAAACAATGAATGAGAAAATGGATTAAAGAGCTTCTATTCTTGAATTGCCACAATGTTACAATTAATTAAATAGCTTAAGAAAGTCGAGCACTGTATATATCTATATGACCAAATCATGCGAGCATAAGCCAAAACACTTCTCTCATCAGTGATCATCACTGACATGAGTCTGTACCTCCTCCTATATATGGACTTAAATCACCCAACATCGTTGACAACATAAACATTTTCTTTTTCTTCTTCTTCTTCTTTTGCGATCAATTAGCAAATAAGAACATCATTCCGTTACTTTCTATGCTTTTGTGATGTATATATACCTTGGATTCATCATAGGCGCTGTCAGGATCGCAGTTGGAGGGGTAGGAGCCGTCGTTGTAGTTTGGCCAAAGTCCGTGAATCCCAAAATCTGCAGCTGGTTTTCCGGTTGACGGATAACAACAGCTCCTCCTTGTGTCACAATATGACCCTGGCCACTGCAAAAAATAGTTGCAGCATAACAAGTTAATTTCATCGTAATTAACTAACTATATGTGAGCCGTATTAGGTAACATATAACCGTTAGACACACCGATCACCTGAAGAACAAAGTAAAAGAAATCAAAATCCCTGGCAGCGGAAGAAGTTGGCAAGAATGTAGGAAGAAGGAGAAGGACAAGAACTAAAGGGGATTGGCTCTTCATCATGACTTGGAAGTTTCTGTCTTGTTTTTTTTTTTGTTTGCCTTGTAAATTTGAGATGAGGTTTGTCCTTTTTGGGGTTCTCTATTTATAAGTGAGGGTGGAGTATACGAGTCGTTATATTCCCAAATATTTTTGTCGCATTGAAGGGCAGTATTGAGATTAAAGTTAAGGTAAGGAGCCTATTCTACATGAGACGGTCCGTTACACTACGCAAACACGTTTGGGTCATGAGCTGTTCACACTTCGTGTTGCTTTGCTTGTGGGGGACTAATTATATCTTTTAAATTACGTTAACCGTGATCTCGATTCTCGGTCGAATCACATATTTTATTGCTCGTTGTTCTGTTGAATTTTTATTTTTTTTAGTGTTTTTTGTTTTTGTGAAACACGAGTTAGGTTTTGGTTTGGTTTGATAAAGTTTAAATACTCTTTTGAAGTCAGGGCGAACCCGTTTTAATTTGCTACTATATCATGTAACGACCAAAAGATGGCGTTCCCAGCACAGAGGATGAGCTGTACGTTTGGTCTCTCAAAATCAGGGAAATTTCAAGCGCGAGGTGGAGCACATGCTTGCATTTCTTATTACAAGTTGTTTTTTTTAAGGGAATCTTGTACCTTATACACCAATAGCATATGCATATTCAACCGCAAGCTATACCAGTTTGGGTGGGCCTTTACATGTGGGCCCCTGGCTGAAGATATATTCTTCGACGCTGGCGGCAGTGTTGAGAAAAATTTAGAGTACGCAACTCTAAACTTACTAATATTGGATCCAAACAAGTAAACAAATCATGTGTATTATACCCACAATAGAAGACACTACAACACTTTTTAAGGACCACTCACAATTTGAAGAGAAATACAAACACTCAAAACAAAAGAAAGCTCATAACTCACTTATTTTGGTGGACACTCACACAAGCCTACACTACACTCAAGCTCACTTCTTGCTTGCTTACACAAATGAGAGCCAAAGACCCTTATTTATAGTTGAGTAAGAGGGTTAGGAAGTGTGTGGAAGAATCAATCCTAGCAATACTGTTGAGGATCTGCGTTGTCGTTTGGCTCAGAGGTCTGCTTTAATCAGTCATGTTCTTCTCTCTCAGTGCACCACCAAGAACACAAAGGGAGAGTTCACTGATCTCCTCCAACCGTCACTCACAAAAGGTGATCGCACAAAGGGGTTGAGAGCACAAAGCCCACAGGAGCACAAAACTCACAGAAAGAGAGAGATCACACAAATCAGAGGAGAGCTCAAGCTCAGATCTTCACCTCACTATCTCTTCTTCCTCTTCATCCCTCTACCGAGCTACTACCAACCCATTACCCATATATAGGGATGGGGGCAGCCGACAAGGGAGAGGAGCTAGGGAAGAAAACGAAGGAGTGAGCCGACCTACGGATGGGAGCTCACAAGCGGCGGCCATCAGATCACGAAGACTAGGAGGTGAGAACCATCGGGTAGGAGAAGAAAATAGAGGGGCTAGGGCACATCAGATAAATGAAGTTGAAACTGGGTCTATTGGTAACGGGCCATCTTATTTGGGCCAACACAAATAACAACAAATACATTAGTAAGAAGTTTCTAGAAGAATAAATACTAGCCACACACTTGTATCCTCCTGGAAACTTCTTGATAGATATTTTGTAGGATGTTTCTAGAAAGAAGTTCTTGAAAATTGTTCTAGAACAATCTAAGTTGGTGAAGAATTCTAACAAACCGCGCCAAAAAAAGAAGGAAAAAATGACGATGATGATGATGATGGGATCTGTAGCATCTCGGCATCTCAAGCCTCGTATTTTGTATTGCTTATATTCAACTGAATGATAAAAGGATAGAAAACTCCGTCTTAATTTGGTTAATTTGATTAGAACATATTATATACAATTATTGCCCATATACTTAGAATTTCCACCGACATAATTTATTGAGAAATTCTTATTACAAGCTTTCCCCCGCTATTACAACGCGTTACAATTTTAACGCATTTAATCAATCATTATTTGACCTAATTTCATATCAATTATCTCATTATCTTTTAAGAATATTTATTCCACCTTTTTCAATCATTGTTCACCGAACATGCAAGCCCTGTGACCGACCCTGTGGAGTACACCATCTGGCGAAATAATAATAATAATAGTAGTAGTAGTAGTAATAATAATAAAAGAAAAGAAATGCATTGCCACAAAAATACAGGATCCAATAATTTTTATCACCAATTGACACTGCCTATTACATTTGCTCCTCATCGAGGCATTTTTTGATTAGAATGAAGGAAAATGTATTTGGGAGGAGCATTTGCCATGAGGCAGAACAGGGCAGTCAATAAGACTGGTCCCTGAAGTATCCACACAAACATACACTTGATAAAGTTGGTCATTTCCAGATTCATCTCTGTTGCATTCTATCCCCGGTGTGTATCCCGTGGCGTCGCTAATGGCCTGACTTATGCTGTTCAAGCTGTAGGATTGGTCGTTAGGCTCGATACCTGATGCATAACACAACATAAAGATGTCAGGAAAATAAGGGGATAACAAAATTACTTTTGAAAAAAAAGGAGGTAAATTATTATTTTGGGATATGTTTTGGTACCTGAGTTGCGCAGTGCTTCGAGGAGATTCACTTGTTTCTTGAGGTTGAGTGCAGCACTGAAGTAGCCACGTTCATCCAAGACTGATTCGGAGCAGGTTCCATGTTTCGTCCATTCATGTGACCAAAAAGTATCGCCATCGCTGCTGGGGCAAGCAAGAGATGGCCAGTTTGTTTGCATACTGTCCACCAAATCACTAATCTGCTCAATAATTATTATGTTAGCATGATCAAGGGATCTCAGTTATCTATAACGTGCATTAATAAGCAATATAAGGATGGGAGATGGGTTAATCATATGCTCTTTTAGGCTTTCTGTTTAGGAATGCTTTCAGTTATAAAAAGGTCATCCTCAAACGTTATTCTAAAATATAAACAAGAAAAAGACAAGACTTACTAAGAAATTGCGTCAAACGCTTTGCATCGTTTTCTTTAATATAATATAATATAGAGAAGAAGAAGATGATTGGGTACAGTTTAAACAATTTGGAACGTCATCTCAATAATAACAGACAAAGAGTCATTATAACTGTAACGGTATTGCTACGATATGTTATGTTCTATATGATTGGAGACATCCACATAGAAGTGTACCAATTACATGGAATATTGTGACTAATATCTAATATTTTTGCTGTGAAATGACGAAAACTCAGAAATGGTTGCTAATCTGTCAAGTTCAGTACAGCTAGTTGAAAGGTTAAAAAAAAGGGAATCGTCATTGCGAGCCTGATATAACTTTGATTTTTTTTTCTTTAAACAAAGGATAAGCATGATTCTTCAAAATCGAATACGTTCTAAGTTAAGTTGGACGTAGACATTCTCCGGATATGAATTAGGGGGCCATTATTTTAAAGCAATCAGTTAATAATATCTTGCCCACATTATATATAACCACCACCACCCCTCTGCGCGGTTGATATTTTTCCTCCTGTTTGAAAACAAGGTCTTTCAAAACATATAATTGTTTTCATTTCCTTAAAAAAAATAATAAAAAATAACTATTTCCGGTCATTTTCTTTAACTTTAAGGAATTAAGCCAAGGAATGATAACTGCACTGCACCTTGGATGGATTAAAAGGAACGCCGGGATCACAGTTGGAAGGATAGGAGCCATCATTGTAGTTAGGCCAGAGTCCATGGATCCCGAAGTCAGCTGCCGGCTTCCCAGATGAAGGATAGCAACAACTTTGCTGGGTGTCACAATAGGATCCTGGCCACTGTAACAACCAAAAATTATTATTATTATTATTATTATTTTAATTCGCAGAATAGAAGAACAATTATGATGTTTTGAGCCCCCTTCTCTTGAGGTAAACAAGAAGAACTACAACTCGACTAACAATGCCTAGAGAGTAAGTCACCTGCTGGACAAAGTAAAAGAAATCAAAATCTTGAGCAAACGTCTGGACTGATAGAAGGCAGAGAGCTGAAAGAAGCCGAAGTGTAAACAATTCTAGTGCCATGATTGGTATAAAGAGGGGTACGTGTTAATTTGGTTCATTGCAGCCATCTATTTATAGGTAAAGAACTTGGGAGCACTTGAATTGGCATATTCTGTTGTGTCCATTTAGCAACGAATAAAAAGTTTGATTGTTTAAAGAAAAGACAAATTAAAAAAGGAAGAGAGAAAAGGGTCTCGCATGACATCCAGCAAACATAAAGTAATTGCTTCCACACTCAAAATCCATCAACTGATGTTGGGATGTTCTCATTTGTAGCTCTTCACAAATGCTTCCACGGATTAGTTTTTATGATTATTGGTATCCCACATTACTTTGTGAGATTTTTAACTGGTGAAGGTCACCTAAAACATTGCTAATTTCACATTAGATTCCCTTAGCTTATGGGTCGTAACAATTTGTTAATGATAACAACATTGGTCGGTCAGGTTGGCACCAAAACCCAATTAAATGCATTCCCACGGCGATTCAACAGGAGATATCCTCTTGATTTATTATCATAATTGTATGTTGTCCAATGAAATGAATGCCACGTATCATGTGAAGTATGAAAGTATCATCGAAGATAATGACTAATAGTGTGGACGCAAAAACCTGACATCTCTTTTGGTTGTCAAAAATAAATACTAAATAAATAAACTAACCTGCCGTTTGTTTGCCACCAAAACCTATATAGAGCCCATTAATTTAACCTGCCAGTAGGCGAAGGAAGGTCTGGACTTGTGTAGCTCCACTAAACGAGAATATGCAGCCCATAGGCCTCACAGGCCCGAGGCCCGCAGGCCCCGCCGTGTCAATGGACCTACCGAAGAGCAAAGAGGAGCAGATCACATACCATGATTACAGCACACACCCGATCAAAATCAAAGTAATCAGAAGAAAATTTTTATCGAAGAAATACCTTATAGTTCCACATGTGCGGTCAGCAAGTGAATATGAACCAGCAACATATCTTTGATATGGACTCCATGGAAAGGGACAATTTCCAGGTGTCCTACACACCTTCCACATAAAACCACTGTGAAAACCTCACCTCAAGTTTCCGATTCTACAATCATGCATAAAAAAGAACTAGACGTTTCAAGATAATGAGAAAAAGACGGCAAAACAGTGACATTTCAGAACCAAAGAATGCACTGGAAGCATCTTATCTAATTCTAGAGAGACTCTGCTAGCATTCTCCCACAAGTTCAACGTTTGATCCCATTTTCTCAAATTTGAGTCGGAAACAACCTAGTGAAAGATCAGTTTCCTTCATATCATGATGAACGGCGCAGATGAAAAGAACAGGTTAAATTTAAAAGCCTCTTCGCGAGTCAGCAAAACGCAACTGCGCGGGCTATTTAAACAAACGTCCGTATTCCCTCCGAAACCAATAAACTGTCAAAAGCCCAACTGCCTACTCCCCAGCTTTTAATCAAAACTTGCAACTGAGAAGAAACCTTTCATTCCAATCAGTGAAATATGTCACCTGCACTTTCTCTTACTACAACTCAGTCCCCTGCCTTCAAATGTCAGGATATCTCAAAAGACAATCATAGCAAGTTCTCCTCCAGGGACAACAAAAATCAGAGACCAGCTTCAGATGCCAATATTGCAAGAAGAAAGCTGCTGCAATCTTTTAGCACAGGCCTCCTAGCGGCAGGGTTATCTTCTGTTCAGCCAGTAAGAGCTGAACCAGAGAGCCCTCAAGAGTCTACATCCAGCCGAATGTCGTACTCAAGATTCTTGGAGTACTTAAATGAAGGCGCTGTGAAGAAGGTAGACCTATTTGAGAATGGCACCGTTGCCATTGCTGAGATATCCAACCCGGCCCTAAACAAAATTCAGAGGGTTAAAGTGCAGTTACCTGGGCTGCCACAGGAGCTGCTGAGAAAGCTGAAAGAGAAGGAAGTGGACTTTGCAGTCCATCCTATAGAACCAAATTATGGGCTTGCAATTCTTGATTTCCTCACAAATTTTGGGTTTCCTTTGCTGCTCCTTGGTTCTTTGTTCTTGAGGAATTCTTCGCTAAATACTCCAGGAGGCCCCAACTTGCCCTTTGGCCTGGGAAGGTAATATATCAGTTCCATCAAAAAATATAGATTACATAAGGAATATATTAGACTAGTTAGAAATTAACCGTATAGTTCTTTCCATTGAAAATCTGTTCTACTTCTACTCTATAATAGTCTTTTCACATATCAAACCAAAAGCTTTAGGTTCTTAGCTACCAAGGCCTGTTTCCTTGAGCAAAAATATTATCTCTTGTTATTTTTCCTCATAAAGCTGTTCAATTGGTCTGTTTGTTTAGTCATATGATTTGAACTGCACTTTTTTAAGTTAAAGTTATCTCTCGTCCTGTTGGAAGATACACCGTAAAAATTTAAGCTACTAATTTGACAATGCTACACAAATTTATTCAAAACAGCAGTATATCAACTTGTAACTCACTCAAAGAAAAAAGGGGGGAAAAAACTTTTTGAACTACATAACCATTTATTTTATAGCTTGCATGCTCCAGTTACTCTCTTCTTTTGTACTCTCTCCCAGTATTTTGGCAAGAGTGAAGACAGTTAGGAATCTCTCTCTCTCTCTCTCTCTCTCTCTCTCTCTCTAACGAAATTCTCTCTCTCTCTCTCTCTCTCTCTCTCTCTCTCTCTCTCTCTCTCTCTCTCTCTCTCTCTCTCGTGTGTGTGTGTGTGTGTGTGTGTGTGTGTGTGTGTGTGTGTGTATTTCCGGATAGTTGGATAAGGTAATAGCAATTATCTTATATGGTGCATTGAACTTCTCATATTAACTAGAACCTGTAACAGGTCTAAAGCAAGATTTCAGATGGAACCAAACACAGGAATTACATTTGACGATGTAGCTGGAGTTGACGAGGCCAAGCAAGATTTCAAAGAAATTGTTGAGTTCTTGAAGTCACCTGAGAAGTTCGCTGCTGTTGGAGCAAGAATTCCTAAAGGAGTTCTTCTAGTTGGCCCTCCTGGAACTGGTAAAACGCTGCTGGCTAAAGCCATAGCAGGGGAGGCAGGAGTTCCCTTCTTTTCCTTGTCAGGTTCAGAATTCATTGAAATGTTTGTAGGAGTTGGAGCATCAAGGGTGAGAGATTTGTTCAACAAGGCAAAGGCAAACTCACCATGTCTAGTTTTCATAGATGAGATTGATGCAGTGGGAAGGCAAAGAGGGACTGGAATTGGAGGAGGAAATGATGAAAGAGAGCAAACACTAAACCAGTTACTTACCGAAATGGATGGCTTCAGTGGGGATAGCGGGGTTATTGTTATTGCCGCAACAAACCGACCTGAAATTCTTGATTCAGCCTTGCTTAGACCAGGGAGGTTTGACCGACAGGTAAAAATTATGTTTCTTTGATGCAGTCCATGAGAGCAGCAATCGAGCTAGTATTTACATATCCAATGATATTACAATCATACTAAGATCGCTAGAAAGTTTCTAGCAAAGAAATTTTTTAGACTCAACTTTGATTCAGTAGCATGCATCGACATGATAATGTTTCCTTTGAGTATTAATAAGTAATCACATGTTACCACGAAACACACATCGAAATATTCGGGCAGGAGAAACCATTAAAAAAAAGAAGCAGCAGCAATATAACGAGGAAAAGTTGTGTTTATTTTTGGCATACTAATAACACATTAGTGGGGACGTTTCACTCAAAAATAGACCCTCGGTAAAATTAAAAAAATACATTTTATCAGCGGATGGTCACAAGAATTATGCTGATTATAGAGATGAAACATATTATGTTAATTTTGACAGGTGACAGTGGGGTTACCTGATGTAAGGGGAAGAGAAGAAATACTTAAAGTCCACAGCAGCAACAAGAAGCTTGACAAGGATGTCTCTCTCAATGTCGTGGCTATGAGAACCCCAGGATTCAGTGGTGCTGACTTGGCAAACCTCATGAATGAAGCAGCCATTCTTGCTGGACGAAGAGGCAAATCAAAGATAACTTTGAAAGAGATTGATGATTCTATTGATCGGATTGTGGCAGGCTTAGAAGGAACCAAAATGACTGATGGGAAAAACAAAATTCTGGTTGCTTATCATGAGATTGGGCATGCCATCTGTGCGTAAGTATCAAATACGCTTCGTCATCTATTGAATACCTGGCATACAGTTTGCATGCATTTTCTTCTTCATTTAACATGATTAAAGGAAAGACTCTAAACTAGATTGTTATAAATTTGACTATTCCGATGGGAGAAATTGAAGCAAATGCCCACATACATGAATGGACATTTTTTTAAGACACACACACACACACACATGACATATTCAAATACAATCATAATTTATATTAAAAACTCTGGAATTTCTCCTTCACAATCTTCCCTTTAAAAGTCTGCCTTAGGGTAGAAATTGATTTCAGTATTATTAATGATATATCAAAATAGACAAAGAAAAAGTTATAAAGAAGTTAACAACAACCATAGTAATTTCTTCTTCCATTTTTAGACTATATTATACATCGCATTGCATGCTACAAAACAGGAAGCATACGGGGTTAGCCCAATAGTTTTTCATTCTGGATATCATAGAGTTGGGATTGAATGATGGTGCACATACCTATGCACAAGGTTGACACATGGACCTTTTTTTGTACATGGCCCCTTCATATTACTGATAGCTATAAAAAAATCAAAGAAACATATCATAAAATCCAACCTCTCAAAGATATTTCTTCCATTCCCCTCCATCTTTTACTTTACCCAACTTTTCGCAAGCAGCACAAACTTTCCCACAAACTTTCCCACAAATGAGAAATAATCTTTTGCATATTCCATACATGGATATTATTGTTAGAATCTAAAGCGTGTTATGAAGATATATTGATATACCTACATAATCATACAAAGAAATTAAGAAGTTTCATCTGATCCAAACTTATTTCTAACTATAGGACACTCACTCCTGGGCATGACCCAGTACAAAAAGTTACCCTCATTCCACGAGGACAAGCTCGTGGTCTCACATGGTTCCTACCAGGAGAAGACCCTGCTCTTATCTCAAAGCAACAAATTTTTGCTAGAATAGTTGGAGGACTTGGTGGCAGAGCAGCGGAGGAAGTAATTTTTGGGGAGTCAGAAATCACAACAGGTGCAGCGGGAGATTTGCAGCAGATAACTCAGATAGCAAGACAGGTAAATTTTTTTAAAAGTATACCATCATACGTACCTTAGGTCCCTAAGTTTATGTACTAAAGAAAGGATCACAGTACAATAAAAAGTTTATGTTTCTAAAGGCAACAAGCAGGAAAAAATATAGCGGGGAAAAAATATATGTTTATAATCGAAACAGAAAAAATACATGTTTGAAGATGCTAAGAGTATTCTTTCCAAGAAAAATCAGTATTAGCGTTCTTTTTTGAGAGAAGAACTATTGGTTTTCTTATTGTTATATTTTAACCATTGAATCAGATGGTGACTATGTTTGGAATGTCTGAGATTGGCCCGTGGGCATTGATGGATCCAGCAGTACAAAGCAGTGATGTAGTGATGAGAATGCTTGCAAGAAACTCAATGTCCGAGAAGCTTGCGGAAGACATTGACAAGTCAGTCAAAGCAATCATCGACAAGGCTTATGAAATTGCAAAGACTCACATCAGGAATAATCGAGCTGCTATGGACAAGCTGGTTGATGTGTTGCTAGAAAAAGAAACTCTTACAGGAGATGAATTCAGAGCAATTCTGTCCGAGTTCACAGATTGTAAACCGGCAACTTTCAGCATGGACAGTGCGCCAGAGCTTGTAGCAGCTTGAGTCGCCCATCAAGAAAATGTAGTTGTGATGTAAAAGGAAGAGCTGATCCTTAGTGATCATTAGGTCTATGTATATGTGTTGAAACTTTAAAGAGAGTTTGTTCAAATAAATTGCAACTTATTGCGTCCCCTTTGAAAATCTCAGTATCTTCTATTTATGAGCTTTCGATGCACCAATGTATCTCATAGAACTGACATAAAATAGCATTTGTGGGCGCAATCGATGCAATAGCTTAAACACTCTATACAAAAGTCTGAAATTACTTTGAGAAAGCACCCGGATAATACCTCTGAGAAAATATGGCGATCAAATGATATGAGAATATTATATCATATCATATATATATATATATATATATATATATATATATATTAATGGTATCCTTGTCATAGGCAGAGGATTTCCTCATTTGGACGCGCCTTTAAAAACACATGAATTAAGCGACATTGTTTGTTATAGTTTAAAAAGTCACAGCGTGTTTTGTGTAATTTTAAACTTTTAAGGATATTAAATCAAATTTTGAAACTTTCTGAGGTTTTTTGTAATACTTATGCATTATAAGTATGTTATCCATTTAGTAATTTCTTTATCTTATTTTTTAAAACATTTTAAGCTTATAGGTAGTTAATAGGAGTTAGATATAAGATATAATTCGCATTTGCGATAGTAGTATAAGATTTTAAATAAAATATTCTAAAATAACTTTTTTAATTTGTTGAGCTATAGATTAGTTTCGTGGAATAGATAAAGCATATTGATTAAAATTTAAAAAGATTTAAGAATTTATAATGAAATATCCCAAAATAGTGAAAGCGGGTAATGACTGACTACCTTCAAGTTTTCTTCTTTAACTCGTGCTTTTAAAAGGTTAGTATTATATAGATATATACTATAAATTAATTATATATATATATATATATATAAGTATATATTATTATATATATATATACTATAATAAAGTAATATCAAAAACATATATGTTGTCAAAAGAGGTACCTCCTATTTGCAGGAATTATCCGCAAACCCTGAGCGGCATCTCTTCCATCCCGCACGCTTCTATAAATATAATATCGAAATAAACCCATCAAAGCATTTGCGTTTCGATTTTGCTCTCTCAAATAGAGACCAGAGTAGCTCGATTCTGGAAGAGGCGGAGAGGACTAAAAGCGCGCCCAGGAGACCTGATTGTCGTGCGAAAATGTAAGAAATTGCAGGCGGTATTAGCGATTGGAATTAATTATTTTCTCATACACCACCTTTTGCAGGTTGCCAAAACTGTTCTAAGACACCCCGCCCACTCTCGACCCAACATTATTGTGGGTTTTCCTTTCTTTTTGTCTCCCCCCCCCCCCCCCATATATATTGGTCCTCCAAATCTACCTTATTTTTAATTAGTCCCCCACATCTCATATATCTTAAACATGTCCCCCAGATCTAAAAATATTGTGAAATAAGCCCCCCGGATTATCATATATAAGTCCCCTAAACTACAAGTTCTCTTAAATAAGTCCCCTCTATATTAAAACTACTAGGTTTTATACACGTGGTAAAATACCATGATTAAGTATGTTTAGTTTATTTTTATACTAAAAATTTTCCTCGACTCCACTTTAAGGTTTTTGCTCACTTATATCTCTAAAATTTAGCATTGTGATAATTTATTTTCTTTGATGTTCGTTTAAATGAGCTACAACCAATTTAAATTTTCACGTTGACGATTAAATTAACAGGAAATAAATGTAATCTGAAATCAAGCTTGACTTGAGAAAGTATAGTGTTACAAAAGTGAAAATCACTTTAAAAAATAGCATCATAAAAGGAAGATAAATAATTAAATCTAATAAGACAAGATGATTGTGGGCCGTAAAATGGTTCTCCAAAGAAGATTTGTATTGATAAGAATGACTTATTACAAATCAAGAATCAAATTACAATAGAAGCGAATCTTCTTGTTTAACGTGAGTTCTTCGCTAGCGATAGGATGCCTCCCTCGAGTGCTTACGTCGAGTTTGCTCCCCTTGGACGATCGATCGAAGTTGCGGTTGAGTTTCAGTGCACAGTAGAAGCTCTTGTGTGATTGAGTTTGATTATACCCGAGCTTGATGAGTAAAGGTCGAATGCTTAGAGATGGCTACAATACAAGAGTTTGCAGAGAGTTAATGAGTCTCAAATCTGAGAGTTCCGGTTGGGTCTACTTCAACAATCCAGGCAAAGAGCTAGGAAAGTTCTACCAAGCAAGCCAATGAAGACCTCCGTTTGAAGAGTCTTAAAATACTCGGTCCTCCTTGAAAAATATTGCCAGCCGAACTGAACTGAACCCCTTTCATGTTGGCAAAGGGGTCCTATAAATGGCAAGGGATGGCATGGATCATCCCTTGATTTGTGAGATGCGATCACTAATAAGAGTAAGGAGTAGCATACTCCCCATATAGCTATGGGATGTGACCACTATAGGGGTGATGGGAGCCATGTCTCATTACCCAGGGCGTGGGAAGTGGGTAGGCCTACTCCCGTAAGCAAGCAGCCACTTGCATTGTTCAGGCAGGGCTGACAGGCTTGTAGGCGAGCTTGAGATCTGCTTGAACGTTCAAGCAAGCTTGCAGGTGAGATTAGTGAACAGGCGAGGTCGGCTGGCGGACCCCTCGAGCGTGTGAGTTGGCGTTCGTTGACAAGTTGAGTTCGTGCGGGCGAACTCACTGCAGGCAGGCTTGACTCGTGCGAGCGAACAATGTGTTCAAGCGAGGTCGAGCTCGTGCTGGCGAGCTCGATAATCAGACGAGCTTGACTCGTACTGACGAGTCAAGCAAATAGGCGAGGTCGACTTGGCCTCTTGAATGCAGGCGAGCTTGTCTTTTGCTGGCAAGTCAAGCAAATAGACGAGCTTTAGCTTGCGGACGAGCTCTGCGTGTTGGCGAGATTTAGCTTGCAGGTGAGCTCTACTTGGCGTAAGCAAGCAGCCACTTGCATTGTTCAGGCAGGGCTGACAGGCTTGTAGGCGAGCTTGAGATCTGCTTGAACGTTCAAGCAAGCTTGCAGGTGAGATTAGTGAACAGGCGAGGTCGGCTGGCGGACCCCTCGAGCGTGTGAGTTGGCGTTCGTTGACAAGTTGAGTTCGTGCGGGCGAACTCACTGCAGGCAGGCTTGACTCGTGCGAGCGAACAATGTGTTCAAGCGAGGTCGAGCTCGTGCTGGCGAGCTCGATAATCAGACGAGCTTGACTCGTACTGACGAGTCAAGCAAATAGGCGAGGTCGACTTGGCCTCTTGAATGCAGGCGAGCTTGTCTTTTGCTGGCAAGTCAAGCAAATAGACGAGCTTTAGCTTGCGGACGAGCTCTGCGTGTTGGCGAGATTTAGCTTGCAGGTGAGCTCTACTTGGCCTCTTGAATGCAGGAAAGCTTGACTTGTGCTAGCAAGTTAAGCAATGTAGGCGAGCCTTGGCTTGCAGGTGAGCTCTGTTTGGCCTTTTGCTTACTTTGAGCACGCCGGCGAGCTCTAATGGGCGAGGTTTCAGCTCTCTTGTGTAGAGGTAATTTTTATTGCCTACAATGATTGGCTAACAATGGGCTAAAATGATACAAAAGAGATATAGAGTTTGCTCCTACTCCTGGATAGACTTTAAAAAAATCATAAATTAAAGATTAATGCTAATTTTAGGACACTTTTATATAATGAAAGCATCCATATAAGCACATAAAAGTACTAAAAGGTGACTTCATGAAAATCACTTCTAAAGATTCCTAATTTACTCAAAAAATTAAATATTTCTGTAAAATATTCAGAAAACAATGTTTTTCATTCATTCTGTTTCATTTTTAATTGAGCTGACATCAATTATTCCCCCACCTCATAAAAATAAATATTTTCAATAAAATTAGACTAGTTTTAGATTCTAAAAAAGGATAATAAATCTTAAAATGAAAGTTAAATTTATATATCTTAATGAAAGAATATCAAACAACTACTCGCTTATTTGTTAAGTTTTGAAAATTTAGTCGTTTTTGTGATTTTAAATTTTTGATAATGTGTTTTGCAAAATTTGAAATTTTGAGCGTATTTTTTGAAAATTTTAAATTTTAAGTTGGGTGCTCATAATTTTCGCATTTCACATGTTGGTAGCAAGTTTTTGAATGTTAAGATATTTCTTGTAACTTTGAAGGTTTGAGGGTGTTTTTTTTATTATTAAAACTTTAGATTGTTTGTTGTAAAATTTAAAATTTTAGTGGTCTGTTGATAATTTTCAAATTTGATATGTACTGGTTATAAGTTTTAAACTTTCAAGGTCTCTTATGATTTTTAATTTTTAAAGGATTTGTTGATGTTCAGTGATCAAACAGTTAATTATATGGGGATGGATGAGGTTGATGAAGGGCCGCTCACTTCTCCGAATATCTGATTTTGAGTTGAGTGACTGAAGCCTGCACAAGTAGAAACTCGTGAGAGGATAAGGACTGGCTCTCCCGTGATTCCTCCGACGGTCAAGTTAGTTGGTGAACTTGAGTAGGGAAAATTGAAGAACTACGTGAGCTCTTTTGTATAGTGTTATTAGCAGATGTAGCTTAGAATAGTTTAGATCAGAGATTAGATCTTAAAAGTTATCCCCTTTTATGTTAGGATAGTACATTTACTTATAGTGGTGCTGAAAGGGTAGAATCGTCACTTCGATCGAGCACAGGATGGCAGTGAAGAAGCATGGGCTGGTAGCTGCGTCAACACCTACTTTACACGCGTCACTCGGCGAGTGGAGGAGAGATCACCTTGGTATTAATGAGTGATGATCGGAGGCATGACGGTGCCGACGTGGTCCGATAAGTCATGAAGACTGTCAGGGCTAGAGGCATGATGGTGCCTGCCAAGCATCAAATGCGACGTCGACGTTGTGTCAGCGGGAGAGACTCGAGGTTGCAGTCGTCCTTTGGCTTAGCTGAGAAGTAATGCATTTCGAGTCGACCTCACAAGGTGTCGAATAAATGGTCTAGTGGGCTCGTTGCGAGTCATCTTTGATGAGAGACTTTACAAGTACCGTCATTCGAGTCGACATGAGGAGATGTTGACTCGACGGGTCAGCTACGTTGGGATCTTTGTTGGTCTCGTCCGCCAATCTAATTGGGGCATTGCATGCAGAAGTACACATGTCCGTTGCTTGGCAAAGGGTTGCACTTTGACGACTAAAAACACCATAACATGATATTTTTGTAATTTTTATAAATTTAAAGTTATTTTTTATAAATTTTAAATTTTCAGGTGTCTGATGGTAATACTTTGAATTTATCTTTGTTGTTTGCAAGTCTTATAATTTTAGAATTTCAGGGTGTTTATTATTATTTAAACTTTTAAGGGTATTTCTATAATTTTCAAAACGTTGAGGGTGTTAATTGCAACTTTTAAATTCATACAAGAATGCTATTAATTTCTAGTCAGGATGTTTTGCATAAATTTAAACTTTTGATAGTATTTTATGCAATTTTTGTAAGATTTTTAGTTTTTTGGTAATACTTCATATATTATAACATGCTAGTTCTTTACCTTAACAAATTAATACCGTGGAACTATTTTATGTATTTTATTAATCTTACTTTTTTAAATCGTTGAGCTGTAGATAGTTCACATGGGATTAGGATATGATATAATTATGATTAAAATAGATTAAGATTTAAATAAAATATTCAAAATAGTGAAGGATAATATTGACCATAGAAAGCTTTTCCCTAACTCGTACTTTTAAAAGGAGTATGATTAGATTAACTCCAAATTAACTAAAATTCATTAATCTTGAATATTTTATCCTCCTCTTTCCTACTTATTTTCTCCTCAAAACTCATCTCTCAACCTTTTTTGCTACTCGTTATTTTTTGGTAAGTCTGTTTTGCACGTTGTTGCAGGTATCGGACCTAATTATCTAGAGAAGATGAGGGATAAACTAGTAACATTAATGCAAATTAGTTAGTTTAAAGTTATATTAATAATTTTATAACTTGGAGGGCATTTTTTAAGAGAAAAATGTAAATTTTGGGGACTTATTTAAGAATACCCATGGTTTTGAGGGACTTTGTTAAAAATATTTGAGACTTTGGGCACTTAGTTAAAAATAAGATAGATGTGGGGAACTAATATAAGAAAAACCTTTTCGTTCCTTTATTATTTTCGAGAAATTTTAATCTTAATATTGATAACAACTTTTAATCACGCAAAATGCAGGGATTTTTTTTAAATTTGAATTTTGTCATTTTTCTATAGTAGATACCTGTACGCTAATTTGTACTGTAATACACTCCTCCATCTTCACTTCTATCTTAAAAATAAGTTTCACAGTTTGATTTCTCCTCTGAATTATCTATATTTTACACTACGCATTACCCATTTTGTCAATTAATTTGTATCGCTGTAATATTTCCCGTCATCTTGTCCTTTTATGAAATTAGTTTTATTAATTTTGTTGAGATATTTCTTTCTATACACCCTTTGCAAACCACGATCAAAATCTAGATTCCAGCCTTAATCACTCATTAAAAAAAAGAAGGAAAACGAAAAGGCATGCAGTAAACAGCTGAGGATATACACAAGAAAACCAAAATCAAAGGAGGCTAATTATTTAGTCTACTACAATGATTGGAAAAAAAAGAAGCTAGAACTAAGGTCAGCCTGCTATAATATACTTATAATAATATTCATGTTTGAGCTCAAAATCTTTTAGTTTGACCGTTGAAATACTCAAGAACTGATCCATTACAAAGGGAAGCGGGAGAGTGCTGCTCCTGATCTGCTGCTGCGGACATTAGGGTCAGCCTTCTCTTCTTGTAATTGGCCTTGAAGCAAGCTTGCCTAAGCCTCTTGGTCTTCTCCTCAAGCTTCATGTCCGGCTTCTTCTCCATCAACTTCTTCTCCTGTTCCAGTATCTCTATCGTGCTCCGCAACTGCACTTCTCCTGCTTCCCCTTCCTCTCTCTCCAATTCCTGCCAGCTCACACGTTACGCGCAATTCCATTATTAGGATCTATTAGTAGTTCCACGCTGACTGGAAACAAAGAGTCTCAAGTGTAGGTTTATTATTAATTAGACTTTTAAGCATGATCATTTCTCCTATGTCTCTAATTTGAACATACGGGTTCCAGCATCACGAATATTGAATAGTAGTTTTGACACCTTGGTCGGATTGCCCAAAAGAAAAAGAAAAAGAAAAGAAAAAAGATTAGTAGTTTGCTATATATATTCAGTCAGGAATTTATGATAAACTAACTAACTTCTTTACAACACATGATATTCAAAAATGAAAAATTTTCAATAAATAAAATATTGCTCGTTTAAATTTCTTGGCGTGAATCATCATTTCTACACATCTTTTTGGCCTAAATTAAAGAAAGTACATTCTCCATAATTATGAATCCGTTGAAAACATCACTAGTTTAAATTCTATGACCAATTAAGAATAAGAATTATCGAGTTTACTGGTTTCCGCTAATTCTTGCTGTAAAACAGATTTTATATTCCCAATACTCGCTGAATTTATTCACAGAAGTCAGCAATGAATAGATCACACAAACTCGGCGCGAGTATGTTTGACCAACTGATTTTGTAAAATTCCAGCCAAGACTGAAATTAGACCAGTATTAGCTATGCTGGCATGTTTCAAGGAGCCGATGAGAAAGATTTATATATCTCATACTCAAAATAAAAGAGGGGCAAAAAAAACCTGAACATTTTTGATGAGAGCCTGCAGGCTCTTCATTTTGCGATGAGGCCATCGAGGAATCCCCAACTCTCTGCACTTCTTCTTCAGAAGAGTGAGCCCAACGTGGAGCTCTCTCGCTGCCTGAGTTATTGGCATATAGAAGTACTTTGACACCTCTTCAAACGTTAGGTTCTTCTCGTCTCTGCTACCCCTTATACACAGTTCCTTCTCCTTTCCATTGTTCTCTTCTATTAAATTTCTTTTCTTGGTCATGTGAGTGCTCTCCCAAGGCCTATGGTTTTCTTCATCAAGCAGGGTATTGAATTCCACTACAATATTAACACCAAGGAAAATAAGCAATTAATGAATTAACACATGCATGCCGTGATGAAATGAAAACTTTTATATGATTAATTGTTGTCGGCTAAATTACTCAATATTAACCTTCGAAGAGATCATCATGAGGAGGGAAGAGAGGCTCCCATTGGTATCGCTGCATTAGAGGAACTGCCTCTACAACATCTTCTTCTACTACTGGAAAATCCAACTGCCAATCCCTCCAATGTGGAAATCCACTGCATGCAACCAAACAGTTTGAACATTCTTATATATGTGCTCTCAATATTTACAATTAGGGAACATAGAAATTGAAGGGGCGGGGGAAAAGAATAGAAAGATGACAAATTTACATTTGCCACATATAAGTTGAAAACTTAGTCTAATAAGAAATCCTCTATAATTTATTTACTAAAAGATAGGGGGGAAATAAATAAAGAAAATAAAAATGTAATAACCAAAGTCTAATGCAAAAATAAACCAAGTGTGTCACTTGTGAGAGATTTACCTCAACTCTAAGTAATCTGGTGCAGTCATTTGTCCTTCATAACCAACCCAGTTATCTAATTGTTTGATATCCATTTGATTTTAGAGAGAGAGAGAGAGAGAGAGAGAGATCAGTAAGGAAAGAATGATTTGGGTGTAAATATATACATGAGTACAAGGGAATGATATGTGTGGGAGAACGTGCAAGAAGAATATCAACCCATGCAAAAAGTAATTAATTGCGAGGAGATAGGGGATTATAATTGGAATTGGAGTTACAAATTTAGAATAATTATAATAGCTCCAATTCGTGGGCTATCCCATTAAGAAGGAGATCATTAAATTTATTAAATTTAATTAAGCACGTACTACTTGGCTGGCATTAAACTGAAAACGCCTTCACTCTTCATTTTTTGGGAAAGAAAACCTCTGAACAAAAGGGTTATACGTACTACACTTCATAATTGAGGTTTTAAAGCATCTTCTGGATTTGGAGATAACAGAATTCGACCATAGTTTTATTTGCTGGATACTCTAAGATTTGATTTGATTTTATTTTATTTAATGAAGTTGCACGCGCCTCCCTATCCAACAGCGCCTCCCTATCCAACAGCTAGCGCCTCCCTCCTAACACGTCCACAATGTATTCTGATCATGACTGTAGGTTAAGTTCATTCCTGAAAATTGGTGATAAATGAAATAGCACTTCAATTCAGATATTTTGTTTTTATTTATTTATTTTTACAAAGAAAAGCACGAGTCTAGTTTTTTGAGAAAGGCTTCAGTCCATTATTAATGTAACTGAAGTAATCGTAAGTAAATCGAAACGCTTGCTAAGATGTGGAGAGAGCGGAGGGGAGAGGGGATTAATTTGAGATTATAAATGCAGCCGTCAACAAAAACTCATGTATATCTTAATGATGAAGTGATTTATTAAGAGAATTATTACGGGAATTACCAGCGCATCGCCTACCACTGCCGGCAGCTCTTCGTAAAGGACCCAGATCCACATCAAATATGCTAAGGGGGTGTTTGGTTACATTTCTATAAATTATAGGAAATGTTTTCCATCTCAAATTTGATTTCCTTGTATTTCTTTAAAAAAATTATAGAAAAAGTTTTGGGAAGTTAAAAAGTACAAATTTTCTTATTTTTTGTATTGTGCTTGTTTGGTTCAAAACAAGAAAATAAGAAATAACTTTTGGTAAAATAGCAACATTTCCTATAATTTATAGAAATGTAACCAAACACCACCAACTTTATAGAAAAGTGAGAACTTTGTAGAAAAGAGTTAATGAGTTTTATTATTTAAATAATGAATGCGTCAGATTTACAAGAGATTTCCTCCCATTTTAGAAGGAAATCAATTTCCATAAAATTTGGTACTTTTCTGTACTTTACAGAAAACATTTCTGTAAATTTTTTTGGAGCCAAACACAGTTTATAGAAATGTATAGAAAATATATATATATATATATATATATATATATATATATATATAGTTTTGTAAATTTGCATTAACGAAAAGTGTGGGCTTCAATTTGAAACTTTAACCATTACTCCTGAGTCAAACCTGAAATGGTATTCCGAGTCAATTGCATAATAGGTCTGTTTCTTGGCAAATACATTAATTAGTGTCAACCGCTTATATCATGGACAGTCACACGTAAAATCTTAAGAGTAAATGACAATAATATAAGAGAAATATGGAGAAACTTGGTACCAAGTTTCTTCATTGAACTTGGTAGTGAGGTGGCCAAATCCCCACCCTACATCACACCTTGAAGAGAGAGCCTCAATCACAAATCCCCACCCTACATCACACCTTGAAGAGAGAGCCTCAATCACTATTCACCTACTTTTAAAAAGAGGCTCCATTTTCAAGGTGTGATGTAGGGGGTGATTTGGCCACCTCACTACCAAGTTCAATGCAAGAACTTGGTACCAAGTTTCTCCATATTTCTCATAATATAAACTTGATGCATAGACTACTCTACATCAAATATCTATCTAACACCACCACCATCATTTCGGTAACTTTTAAATGGTTGTGATTTATTGCAAATATAACAAACACTATATTATTATTTTTTTCATTTATTTTCACTTTTCATTCAAATATTCCCTATCTCAGCATCTATTTGATTTCGCATCACCCTCTAGCCTATGCGTTTTTCCATATTTCTATGCAGGTATTTACCTAGAATCTTGACAATCTCCATTTCCGAAAGTTTTCTCTCACATGCTGTAGTTGACAATAGTTTCTGGAAAATAAAAGCTCAGAATTGATGGATTCCGCCAGGGAAAATGCTAAGTGTACTACCCCCTGTACTCATTTGGTACTTCTCACTCACAAAAGAGTTGGGGTCATGATGACTCACCACATGAAAATTGTAATGATGAGTCATCATGGCCCTACTTTTTTGCGACTAGGAGTACCAAATGAGTACAATGGGAGTAGTACACTTATCACTACCCTTCCGGCAGAGGTAAAATCCATCAACTACTTTATTTTAGCTTGAACAAAATTAAAGACAAAATCTAAATTTGCATATTCCAACAAGTTAAATGGATACAAAAGAATTTTATCATAAATAATTCATCATATTTAAGAAATTGCAATTGCATGTGTAAAAATATACAATGTACCTACGCATGTAAGAGTAAGAAAAAAAATTGAGAGAGAAAACTCACAAATCTGGAATTAATCACAATCTGTGCTCTAAATGTTGAAGGGAAATGACATCCTTGAAGCCAATCGTCTTCATATTCAAGCTCAAGCCATCTAACAAATCGTAAACAAACCCACAATCATCATTGGCATCACCCCCACAGACAAACCTATTTATCGATTTACCAACTTCAACACAGCTCTCTCCTGCAACTTTCTTTAACCCCTCATCTTTCATTATCTTCCTCACTCTCGCCGCTTCATCCCACGATCCAACCTCCGAAAACATGTTGGCAATGATGACATAATTATCGCTTCTTTTTGGCTCCAACTCAAGCAATTCCCTTCTAGCCATCTCAACAATCCCATGTACATCCTTATCGGCGTGTAACTGACATGCACTAAGCAATGTTCTCCACACCACTGCATCAGGATCTATCGGAATTTGGTTTATAAACTCATATGCTTCAAGAAGAAGACCCTTTCGGCCCAGTATATCAACCATTGCACAGTAATGGGTCATCCTAGGCTCGATGGAATGAACGTTCACCATCTCGTCGAAGAATTCGAATCCTTCATTTATCAAACCAGAATGGCTACATGCACTTAGAACCGTGAGAAATGTCACATAGTTAGGCCTGATCGATGATGTCTTCATCTGCGAGAAGAGTTCAAGGGCCTCCTTTCCTGATCCGTAGTGGGCATAACCAAGTATCATCACATTCCAAGTACACACATTCCTCGCTCGCATCCTCTCAAAGACTCTCGTTGCGAAATATAAATCCCCACACTTTGCATACATATTGACAACTGCTGTCCCCAACTGAACGCTCAGATCGATCCCCCAACTAATAATTTGACCGTGGACCCATTTCCCAAACCTCAAGCTTCCAAGCACAGCGGCAGCAGAAAGAAGAACCACGAAAGTGGTCTCGTTCGGCTCGAATAGATCAGACCTCATTTGCCTAAGCAACCCAATTGCTTCCTCATGGAACGAGTTATCAACGTGCGCCGTCAAGATGGTGTTCCAAGAAACCATTGTTCGCAGAGGCATTTCGTCGAACACCATGCAAACCTCATAGACAAGTCCACAGCTCCCGTAAAGGAGCATCAGGGCGTTTTGAACAAAAACCACGTCGTGGAACCCCCTCTTGACGCAATCACAATGGATTTGTTTTCCAAGACCAAAGGCCGATGAGTGGGCGCATGCTTTGAGCACGAAAGGGTAAGTGAGCTCGTTGGGCTCGATCCCAGCTCGACGCATCCGTGGCTCAGTCCTCGGATTACATGGTTGAAGGAGGGGCGGCTGGGGTTGGGGGCGGAGGATAAGAGGGAGCGGGCGTAGGGTAAGCGGGCGAAGGGGGAGATGGAGGAGAGCTTGATGAGCTGGGCCGTGAGGACTGGGTCGTGGGAGAGGCCCAGGGTTTGGATGTGGGCCTGGACCTGGAGGAGCTGGGACATCGAGGAACACGAGCTCAGGAGGGAGACGCATTGTTGTCTCGGGGAGAACTTTGGCCACGTCATCTTTTTCCCAAGCTCGATTTTACGTAATAACTCCTTTTCCCAAGCTCTTCTTGCCCCCACGTCATCCTGCTACCACGTATATTTTGAATGATTTCCTTTTCCGAAGCCCCCACGTCATCAAATCTCTGCTTCTTTGACTACTCTCTCAATCATAGGGAAGGTCGAGCTCCTTTTTGGAGCCGTTCACTGAGCAATTAATTAATTAATTAATTAATTAAACTGAGATCAAGTAGCCGACCGTTTTGCTTTTCCTAGAGCTAGAGCTAATAGGATCATAGATGATCTTCTTCTTAACTACGCAGCACACAAGGAACCCAATGCTTGAGCAACTGCTCCAGAAAATTGCACGCGGACTCTGGATTATCCGAGGCATAATCTAGAAATTATGAGCACCTATTGTTATTGTACCATAATTCCTACCTTAGTCCGATTCTAATAATCTGATTCGCTAAAAAAAAAACTTAAGCTAATTGACAGCGGAGCGCCTAGCTAGGTCCTTACTTGCATTTTCCTCTCCCGAAGGTATCGGCGTGCGGTCAATGAACGTACGCACTTTCGTAAGGTGGATGGTTGAGCTTAGCACTTTTCTTGCCCGTGATAATAATCTGTTGCTACGTACTGGATCTCTGATCCAAAGATGCAGGCGTGCTGACCCCTCTCATTCGAACTTACCCTGATATCTGGAGAGCTTGCATCCGGTTACGAATAGCTATTGCAACCTTGTTGTACCTTGCGTTGTACCTAGTTGGAGTCGGTCTTTTCGATGTTAGAAGGTAGTGGATCACTTGAACAAAGCTGTTTCCTAACACTAGCCTCGAAGTCGCATCATTGGGCATCAAAAGGCGATGAATTCTTCCTCTGTGTAACTGCTCTTAACGGTTGAGGAGTCTTGGCGTTCTTCGCTTATTTCTCTGCTGCAGAGTCCCGGCATCAGAAAATTTTTAAAAGGAGTGTTTCATGGCAAATACACCAGTGTCAACTGCCTATACAACTAGAACTAGAATGTATAATTGAGAGTCATGTGCATAATCTAGAGTCAATGGCAAATAACACGGCCTAACCAGTTAATGAGTAGCATATTATATGTTACGCCCTCTATTTGTCCATTACCTAGATCCATGGCTTAGACTACTCTACATTTAATCTCTATTAGAATCTAAATTTGCACATTCCAACGGGTCAAATAGACACAAAATGAATTTTATCATAAATAAATAATTGATCATAGTAAAAAAATTTGCATGCGTAGATACATCATATATACACATAAATGTAAGAGTAAAAAAAATGATGGAACACTCACTATCCTTCAAATCACAGTCCATCCTCTAGTTCTTCAAGGGATATGAAACCCTTGGAGCCAATCATCTTCATATTCAAGCTCAATCCATCCAACATGTCATAAACATACCCGCAATCATCATAAGCATCACACCCTGAGACGAACCTGTATATTGATCTATCAACTTCAACACAACTCTCCCCAGCTACTTTCTTCAACCCCTCGTCTCTCATCATCCTCCTTACTCTCGCAGCTTCCTCCCATGATCCAGCCTCCGAAAACATGTTAGCGACCATCACATAATTCCCGCTTCTGTTTGGCTCCAACTCAAGCAATCTCCTTCTAGCCTTCTCTCCAACCCCATCTAAATCTTTATCGATATGTATTTGGCATGCACTAAGCAATGTTCTCCACACCACTGCATCAGCATCCACCGGCATTTTATTTATGAACCCATATGCTTCAGTGAGAAGACCCTTTCGGCCTAGTATATCGACCATTGAACTGTAATGAGTCATTCTAGGGTTGATTTTGTGCACGCGCACCATTTCACTGAAGAATTGGAACCCTTCATTTACTAAACCCGAATGGCTACAAGCACATAGAACGCCGAGAAATGTCACATAGTTAGGCCTGACCGAAGATTCCTTCATCTGTGTGAAGAGCTCAAGGGCATCTTCCCCTGATCCGTAGTGAGCGTAACCAAGAATCATTGCAGTCCAAGTCCACACATTCTTCACTCGCATCCTCTCAAACACTTTCTTAGCGGAACATAAATCCCCACACTTTGTGTACATATTGATGATCGCCGTGCCCAGCTGCACGTTTACATCGAACCCCTGACTGGTAATTTGACCGTGAATCCATTTTCCAAATCTTAAACTTCCAAAGTCGGGCGCAGCAGAAAGAAGAAGCACGAAAGTGGTCTCATCAGGCTCGAACAGTTCAGACGTCATTTTCCCGAACAAGCCAACTGCTTCTTCGGGGAACAAGTTATCAACATGGGCCGTCAAGATGGTGTTCCAAGAGACTAACGTTCTAAGGGTCATTTCATCAAACGCCTTGCGAACATCATGGACGAGCCCGCAGCTCCCATACAGCAGCATCAGGGTGTTCTGAACATAAACTACTTGATGGAACCCCCTCTTGATGCAATCACAATGCGCTTGCTTCCCAAGCTCGAGGGCGGACGAGTGAGCGCATGCTTTGAGCACGAAAGGGTACGTGAGCTCGTTGGGCTCGACGCCGGCCCGCCGCATTTGGGCAAAGACTGCTAAGGCTTCGCCGCGTCGCTGCGGCTCAGCCCTCGGATTAGATGGTTGAAGGAGGGGCGAGTGGGGTTGGGGGCGTAGGATAAGAGGGAGCGGGCGTAGGGTAAGCGGGCGAAGGGGGAGAGGGAGGAGAGCTTGAGGAGCTGGGCCGTGAGGAACGGGTCGCGGGAGAGGCCTAGGGTTTGGATGTGGGCCTGGATCTGGAGGAGTTGGGACGTTGAGGAACATGAGTTGAGGAGGGAGAGGCATCGTTGCTTTCGGTTTGGGGAGAAGAACTTGGCCACGTGCATCTCGTCCTCACTTTTGGCCTCCCCGCATTTGTACGCTCCCTCTGGAGGGAAGGGGACAATTTAAGCTCCAGAGAAAGAAAATTAAAATTGATGAAACTTTAGGGCACTGAATTGCAACTAACCATTATTTGATGAATTTTTAGGGTACTAAAGTGCAAAAAGATTAGATTGATGAAACTCTATGTGTTTTTCCAAGGGGTGTCTACACGCATTCATTAGGAGATAACAAAGACAAAGAGAGAAATTAATGCAGATCGATAAGGATCTACTTACTATCCATTTCTCTCTATCTCTCTCTTCCCTTAACGAGTGACCATGAGCACAAGTTAGAAAAACTGTTACTCTTTTAATTATTCGGTTAAGATTAGTCGTACTCCAAATTAACTCAGACTGGGTGTGGGCTAAATTAGCATTGGACTTCTAACCCAACACTACAAAATTCTGAAATGTATAAACCCTGGCGCCTTGTTTAGCCTTGTCCAACCGGGTCGAGCAAAACCCGTGACCCGGACCCGGGCCCGGTTAGCCCGGGCCGGGCACCGGGCCGGCCTCCTAGTTTTCTTTTTAATTTTTCCTTTTTTAAAAAATTGTTAAAAAATTAAATTAATCTTATTATATTTATATAAGTATGTATTAGTATATACTTACATATTATTATATAGCTATATATTATACACATATATCATATGTAAATATATTGTATATACTTATAAGTTATAACTTGAGAGAAATAGAGAGAATGATAATGCATCAACTCTTCTTCAATAGACATGGATCACTAAAATTGTGTTTCCCTCTTAAAACTAATTAATACTTGCACCTTACTAATAAATAGTTTATGTATAATATTGGTCCCCAAAAATCTAACCAATTTTAAAATAAGTACTCCAGATCATCATATATCAAATCGTTTACTGGAAAAAGAAACTCATATAAATTCTTTTAAATAAGTCTCCCAAGACTGATTTTTTTTTTAAATTCAACTTCAGATTAATTAACTAATCTTTAGGGCTGAGCATGGTTCGGTCCAAACCGAAAAAACCGATCGAACCGATCCGAAAAAATCGGTTTTATGAGTAGGGCGGTTCGGGTCGGTTTGGAAACTTTTCAACCCGAACCGACCCGAACCGACCGAATATAGTGCAATACTACCCATTCTGATCTCAAACCCTACCCGACTCATCACCAAAGAGTCAAAGACTCAAACTCTAAACTCATTTTCTGGATCATTATGGGTTGAAAACAATATCATTATATTAATGTTTAATGCTTCATAATCTCCTACTTTGTTGATATTTTTTTTCTTTAACACAGTTTGTTGTTTGATAAGAAGTTTGATGAAGTTAGAACCGAACAAACCGAACCGAACCGCACCGAACCGACTTGTAACAGTTCGGCTCGGTTTTGAATTATAGGCGGTTCGGTTCGGTTGTTAAAATTTTGGTAAAAACCGAACCGAACCGACTGTTGCACACCCCTAGGGAGAGGTTCTAATAAAAACTTCCTTAGCCTAAAAACTAAAAACCAATATCATCCATTGGATCTAGATGAATCCAATGGCTGGGAGTCAGTCAAACAGTCAACGAACACATGCATTAATTACATGCATTAATTACCTCAACGAACACAAATCTGGATTCACTGTAGTGAAAAACGTGTTCGTTGAGGTAATGAATCTGGATTCACTGTAGTGAATCTGGATTCACTGCAGTGAAGGACGTGTTCGTTGAGATAATGAATCTGGATTCACTGTAGTGAATCTGGATTCACTGCGTTGAGGTAATTAATGCATGTGTTTAATGAGGTAATTAATGCTCTGGATTCACTGCAGTGAATCTGGATTCACTGCAGTGAATCTGGATTCACTGCAGTGAAGGACGTGTTTGTTGAGGTAATGAATCTGGATTCACTGTAGTGAATCTGGATTCACTGTAGTGAATCTGGATTCACTGTAGTGAATCTGGATTCACTACGTTGAGGTAATTAATGCATGTGTTTAATGAGGTAATTAATGCATGTGCCTGTTGACTGTTTGACTAAATCCTAGCCATTGGATGATATTGGTTTTTAGTTTTTAGGCTAAGAAGGTTTTTATTAGAACCTCTCCCTATATATATATTAAATATTTTATTATTATATTCATATTATTTATATGCATATTATTTATTCTTATTAATTACTAATTAAGTTATTAATTGATTAATTATTTTTATTATTTTAGACGTACTTTAATGCCGTAGCAGTGAGGAATGATGCAAGCAAAATAAACTTTGAGAACTGCCATTGGAGATTAAAGGGACGCATAGTTGTAACAGTCAATTATTTGGTTGGAATCTCATTTTGTTGCTTGTTGTGGACTGACACGTTTAATTTTCAACATCGTCCACGGTTGGCGGCCGATAAACCAGCATCGTGTCATCCGATACACAAATCCGTGTTGAAAGTCGTAGTACTCAAGTCACCAAACAATCTAATTAGATTGACCTTTTTTTTATCAATCTCCAGCCACACCATTTTTTTGTTCCCACGATGTCTGTCTATTATCATCATTAGAGGAAAAAAAGAAAAGAAAAGAAATTATTTAGAACCAACAGCCACACAATCGAAATGTTCATTTGATTGGTCATTAAGAACAAAATCACAAAGTAAAGAAACATTCCTCAAGGATCCAAAATATGAGATCAATAAGAGGGACAAGTGAGGTGTCCCCCTCCTATTAGATAATGAGTTAATCATCATTAATGATGACCAACTCATTATCCAATAGGAGGGGGACACTTCACTTGTCCCTCTTATTGGTCCCATATTTTGGGTCTCTGTAGCAAAGCTCCAAAGTAAAACAGTATATATATATATATATATATATATATGTTAATATATATATATATATATTAGTAATTAGTAATTAAAAAGTTCACACTGTTCCCAAAGTAAGAGGGTATATATATATATGCAGTGATCGATGTCAGCCGGGATATCCAAGTAACAAAATAGGAAAAACGATAAGATAATATCTAAGTGGTGATTAGCCTACTTTATGAGGTTCGCAGTCGTTTAGATATCCCTTCTCATGCCTACGTAGACACTGAGAATGATGAAATTATTGAAAGGTGGGGGGATAAAAAGCAAAACAAAAAGATCAGCGAGGGTTTGAAGAAGCATTGCTCTTAATTATTAGAGACTGGGATACGAAAGGAGTATTAGCGGCTATAATTAGCAATATTGTCTAATTAAGGGGCTGTTCGTTTGGCAAAAAAAACTGGGAAATCAAGAAATAGGAAACCTATTTCCTATTATAATTATTTTGAAGTTGTTTGGTTGGCTTAAAAAAGAAGGAAATTATAGAATAGATGATGAGATGAGATGAGTTGTCACCTTATTATTGGATGATGTGAGTGATTTTTTAAAAAACTTATTTTGAGGTTGTTTGGTTGGTTAAAAAAATAAGGAAATGAATTGGAGGTATATTATTGAATGATGTTTTGAGGTTGTTTGTGTTTGGTTCGTTTTTAAAAATAAGAAAATAGATGAGATGAGATGAGTTGGAGGTATATTATTGGATGATGTGACACGTATTTAAGAAAATTGATTTCTTGTTTTTTTTTTAGGAAATGGATAGAAAGGAATGTTTAATGAGATGAGATGAGTTGTCATAATATTATTGGATGATGTGTGTGATTTTTAAAAATAAGATAAAATAAGATGTGATGAGTTGGATGATGTGACACATTTCTTGTGTTTGGTTTATTTTTAAAGGTAAGAAAGGAGATGAAATGAGATGAGTTGGAGGATAAAAATAATATTTTATTGGATGTTGTGGGTGAGTTTTAGGGATGGAAATGGATAAAAATATTATTTTATTGATTTCCTTGTACCGGTTTCCTTTTCTTGGTTTTTAGGAAACCAACCAAACAGCCCCTAAAGAGAAGTCCTGATCGATATCACATGACACCACTTTATTAAAGATGAATCTACTGCCGAACAACACAGGATAACGCTCGAGTGCTTACGAAACTTATGAATCTTGAATAATAATAGTAATAATAATAATAATAATACTTTCAGAAAAGTAATAATAGTATCACATCTATTTGAGTCCAAACACCTATGAGATTGTGGTATTTTCAAACCGAAACACGCCCGAATCTAGTTGGTACTTGCAAGTAAAAGTAAGAGTCTAGCAATCAGTAACAGTAAATAGACAAGATATACGTGGTTTGGCAATGTGCCTACATCCACGAGACAACGACGAGCTTCTTTATTATGAAAGAGTAATCTGAGAAGTACAAACTCTTGAGAACAGTTTCCAGTCCTCTCAACTCTCAATCTGAAAGCAATCCGTTATACTCACGGATTGCACAGTTCTACACTTTCGATACAAAGAAATACCATGAAAAGAATTCAGGAAATAGATGATGTTTTCCCTCAGAAATCCCACCATGATTTAATCCCTGGAATAGGCTGATATTTATAGCAATCGTTGCTTCCTATTCTGAGCCTTAATAGGACCTGAAAACCCGCCTGTGTCCTTGTTTGAATACAAAAGAAAACTTGTACGTCTGTTCCGTGTCTGACTTCTGAATAAGAATAAAAATCCCTATAGAATAGGGATCCTATTTTATAGGATATGTATTGTGTCACATATATAGCAATCCTATTCCATTTCAAACTCTACGGATTGAAAACTGTGAGCCGCGAAATCCGGCCCACAGGGATTACGTATGAAACAAGCCGTCATGTGTTGGTAGTACTTATTTTCTTTGTAATTCTTTCATTAGTTATAGTCAAAAATTAAGGACTAATTAACGAAGAAGAGATGTGCATTTGAATCCAAAAAAAGTAATGGTTAAATAGTAGCATATATGACTTCATGGGTCTCTCAGCAGATGCTAGTTTGGCGGCTCCCAGAGATTTGTTTGGCAGCTGAAGACAAGGCGGATAACGTATGACATCTGATCACATGCGCTTGCCACGTCATCCATATTATCTTGGCATCCAAAAGTAATGGTTAAATAATATAGCATAATTTCT